CTCGCGCCCGCCCCCCCCGGCCCCGCGCCCCGCGCCCGCGTTCCGCCGCACCAAGGTTCCTACCCCGGCGTCACCACCAGTCGTCCCCCCATGCTGCCTCGGTGTCACCGCCATAATGATCCCTCATGCTGCCTCGGTGTTACAGATAAAAGCGTCCCCTCCCGCCGCCGGCTCGCTCTTCAGTTCCGCACGCACCCAGCGCCCCCGCTGGCCTCGGAGGGGCCTCGCGGTGTTGGAGGGAGGGATCGGGCCCAGCTGTGGAGCAGGGGACGATCGGGGCCAGCTGTGGCCGTGGGAGGGTAGAAGGATCGTGCCCAGCTGGGGGAGGCACACGCAGCCCCATTTAAGCCCGCCCGCAGCCCCTCACATGATGGGAGTGTGACGGGTCCGGGCACGAGGTAACGGCGATGGCGCTGAGCAGAGTCCGCCTGTTCCAGCCCCGCGGGGAGGGCACCCGGCTGCTGCCCCAGGTAATGCCGGGACCCCTTACCCGAGCACCCCGCGTCCCCCGACCCCTGGGTAGCAGCGTGCTGCATCCCCGGGGGTCTCCATAGGGACGGATCTGGGGGTCCCTTTGGGTCAGAGTCTTTGGGGTGCTCCCCTGCAGACCCCCGTGATGAGCGGGGGGGGTTTGGGGCTAAGCAAGGCTGTGTAGGGTGGCTCCAGGAGCCCGTGGCAGTGTCTGGCTGTGGGCTGCAAGAACATTTCTGGGGGCTGTGAGTGGCTCCTCTGTCCGTGCAGGCATCCAGGCTGGTGGAGCTGCCCTACTCCTCCTTTGATGATGATGATGATGGTGATGACACCGTTGAGCAGGACCCCGGAGTGTGGTACCCCGACCCCCCCAAACTGAGCCCCTTCAGCCGCTGTGTGCGCTACCTGGCCATCCTCTGGAACCTCCTCTTCCTCCTGCTGGGGCTGCTGACCCTTGCTGTGGGGGTCTGGGGGCTGCTGACCAAGAGCCCCCTGCCCGGGGGGGAGCGTGGGGCACCCCTGGGCTCGGACCCCATGCTGCTCTTCGTGCTGGCGGGGCTGGGGGCCAGCAGCGTGTCCCTGGCTGGCTGCCTGGGCGCCCTGCGAGCCAGCCCCTGCCTGCTGCGCTTCTTCCTGGGTGCCGTGCTGGCTTTCGGGGGGCTGGAGCTGCTGGGGGGGCTCCTGCTGCTGCTGCTGCGGCGGCGGCTGCGGGACGCGCTGCGGGACCTGCTGCTGCTCTGCCTCCTGCGCTACCGGGAGGACCCCGACCTGCAGTTCCTGCTGGATGAGGTGCAGAGGAGCCTCCAGTGCTGCGGCCTCGTGTCCTACCGTGACTGGGAGAGCAACCCGTGAGTCGGGGCTGGGGGTGAGTGGGGAAGGCCATGCTCATCTTGGGGCTGAAAACCTCCTTTGTGGGACTCCATGCCTATGCTGGGGTTGAAAACCCTGTTGGGTGTGGAACCCCATCCTCACCACAAGGCTGAAAACCTCCTTTGTGGGACCCCATCCCCACCCCAGGGCTGAACTCCCCCCGTTCCTTGTGGGGTCTGTGCTAGGCACTCATGTTTGGGGTGGTGGGATCCCCAGAACGGCCCAGAAAGCAGAGGGATGAGCTGGAACCCATGCTTGGTGCCCAGTTCTGGGGGTGGGGGTGGCACACCCCATCCCGCACCCCGAACGTGCGTGACCCCACATCTCCGTGTCCATCCCACAGGTACTTCAACTGCAGCGCCCCGGGCGTGCAGGCGTGCGGCGTGCCGGCCTCCTGCTGCCAGGAGCCGCTGCAGAACGGCTCGGTGCCCAACGCCCAGTGCGGGTTCGGGGCGCTGGCGCTGGGCCCGGCGGCGGCCGGGGCCGCGCTGCACGCGGGGGGATGCGGGGCCGCGCTGGCCGCGTGGCTGCGGGGCCAGGCCGGGGCCATCGCCGCCGGGGCCGGCGTCTTGCTGCTGCTGGAGGCCCTGGGAGCGCTCCTGGCTCTGAGGGTGCTCGGGGATATCCGGCCGTGAGGGATATGGGGATTGCCTGGTTTGGTGCTAAATAAACCTTGTCGGAAGTCCTGAACCCGTCTGGTCTGGTCTGTGCTGCCGTCAGCACTGCTGCTGAGGGTGCGCAGGGACTTTGGGGATGTCTGGGGTGCTGGTCCAGCCCCAAATCTTGTCAGCGTTCTGAACCCATCTGTGTCCTGCCCATCCCACCCCAGGGTCTTGAGAGCTGGGGCCAGGCGGGGCCGGTGTCCTGCTGCTGCTGGAGGCAGTGGGAGTGCTCCTGGCTCTGAGGGTGCTCGGGGATATCGCAGCTGTGAGGGCAGCGTGGGGATCGCGATAGGCAGGGGCTGGTTTGGTGCTAGATAAGTCTTGTCAAAAATCCTGAACGCGTCTGGGTCTTGTGTGTGCTGCCATCGCCACTGGTGCTGCTGCTGAGGGTGTGCAGGGATGTTGCAGCTTTGGGGATGTCTGGGGTGCTGGTCCAGCCCCAAATAAACCTGAATCCTGAACCCATCTGTGTCCTGCCCATCCCACCCCAGGCCCTGAGGAGCTGCTTTCCCTCCTCCCCAGCCCACAACACTGACTCCTGTGCTCGTTAGGGTTTAATGAGCATTTTTCCAAGCTGAGCCCCCCCCATCCCCAGCATGGGCAGGGGGGGCCTCGACCTACACAGCACTACAGGGCTGGTGAGCCTGCCCAAATCCTAAATGATTCCGTACTGAGCTAGCTCGTGCAGCTCCAGGTGGCTGAAGGCTTCCCAGGGACAGATGACAGTGATGTCTGAGGAGAGAGAGGACAGAGCTTGTGGCCGTGTGACGCCCCAGGCCCTGCCCCCCCGCTGCCAAAGGGGTGGCATTCCCATACCTGTTCCCAACCCCTCCATGCCTGGGATGTCGTCACCAAACCTGCAAGGAAAGAGGAATTGTCTGGCCTGTCCCTGTACAGGCCCCCCACCCCATCCCAGGGCCCTTCCCCACTCACCCCTGCACCCCCTTTTTGGGGGGTTTGCTCTTGAACTGCCTCGTCTGCCTCTGCTTGAACTTGGGCGGGCCCTTGCGGGGGGTGGCAGGACCCCCGCTCACCCTCGTGGCCGATTTGACCTCCAGCTTGGGGGGCTCCAGGCTCATGGCTGTGGGGGACCAGCAGCCCTGGGGGTCACGGCGTTCCCTGGAGCTCACAGTGTTCCCAGGGTCTCACGGTGCTCCCTGGGGCTCAGCGCTGGCACAGGACAGCTCCTCACACCCGCTGGAGGGAAATGGAACCACCAGCTTCTCCTCCCACCCAGCCCTGCTGGGCTTTGCAGAGCCCCCTCCCCACAAGGCTGGCTCAGCGTTAACCCCCAAAGGCAGGAAGGGCACCCCGAGGGCCACCAGGGCTGCTGCCACTCCTCCTCCCTGTCCCCCACCCCAGTGTGGGTGTGACACCCGGGGACCCCTCAGGGCACTGCCAGGACCCTCCATGGCGTGCCCGGGTCTGTGTGGGGGCGGTGGGTACCCCAGGCTGGGAAGGAGGAGCAGGGGATGGCCCATGGCACCAGGAGCAGGAATTCTGTGGTACAAGCCCGCTCTGGGATCCTGTCAGGGATTTGGCCCTGCTGCAGAGCTGAACACAGCTCTGGGAACACCAAGCCAGGGAGATGTTCCTGGATGTCCCTGGATGCAGGAAGAGCAGCAAACAACCCCGTGTCCCCTCCCCTGACTCACAGAGTGCCACGATTCCCGGCTCCAGAGCTGCTCCTTCCGCCCAGCCGGCTCCCTCCGGCCTGGAGATGCTCTGGGGGGCTTTTCGTGGAGGGAGATTTATCCTGCCCGGGGGTAATAGGATTATTTACCTCCCTGCTTTCCCCAGGGGTAATCCAGTGTCCTTCCCCTGCTCTGGGGGGGAGGAGGTGTCAGGATTAGCCCTGCCTGTGCCAGTGGGCAGTGGATCCCACGTGGGGGAATCCTGCCTTCCCCCCAGGGGGATCCCATTCCCAGAGACTCCTCCAGTGTCCCCTGATCCCACAGGGAGCGATGGGACCCCCATTCCAGTCTCCAGCCCAGCCTGGTGGGGGTCCTGGTTCCAGAGAGGGTCCAGCAGCCCCTGCCCATGGCTCGTGTTGCTCCAAAGCTTCCCTAATCTAGCACTAAAGCAATTAAAAACTGACTAATCGGCACACTTTAATTGAACTTCAGCCCCTGCCACTAATTGCAATTAGTTGGGCTCCAACAAATAGGATTAAAGGGATGCAGGAGTGTTTTCCATGGAGAAGCACCTACTTCCCTGGCAGAGAGCAGAGCCTGGCTGTTAATTGGGGTTCATTAGTGCGTGACACTCCAGGGCTGGGTGGCTTCTTGGGGACCTTGTCCTGGGATGACGTGGGGGGGTCTGGGTGGGTCTCAACAGCTGCAAGTCCCCCAGGATGAAGGGACAAGTTTGGGACAAGTGTCTGGGGATTTAAGATGGAGGCAGAAAAGGCAGCTTGGTGAGCAGGCTGGATGTGACACCAGGGACAGTGTCCTTGACAGGAGGCTGCTGCTTCCCACGTGCCTGGTGCCACACGCTGCCCCCGAGCCCCCAGAGAGGCCCCTAAGAGGCTTTGTGGTGCCAGTGGGGAGGGGTCTGGCCCCCCCATCACCAAGGCATGGCCAAGGTGCTGAAAATCCCCCCAAGGTGCTTAAATTCCAGCTGGGAGCACAGGAGGAGGAGAAGGAGGAGGGCTGGGGAGCCGCTCAGGCTGCCCTTGGCAGGGATTTGCCATGTTGGGGAGGGCACAGCATCCAGCTCCCGGGAAATCCAGGGCTCAGGACAGCCCTGAGCCACCACCTGTCCCCAAGGACAGCTCCCTCTGAGACAGGAGGTGACCCAACCTCGCGTGACACTCCCGGGGTGCCGCGCTCAGCACACAACAAACTCTCCCAACCACCCAGGCCCGGATCCTGTCCCCCCTGGGGCATCCCCCAACCATCTGGGGAGCCCGTGGGAGGCTCAGTCCTTCCTGGCACGCAGCCTGATCTCCATCCTGAGGATCATTTTGATGTTCTCGTCCTCCACGTGCTGCTCCACGGCCGCCAAGGCCTGGGCTCCGCCGTCCCGGTGCCGCTCCAGCAGCTCCTCCACGTATCCCACCCAGACACAGTTGGGGCAGCCGGTCCCGCAGCAGTGGGTGGGCGGGGGGGGCATCGGGGGGGCTGCAGGGGGGTCCCCCCTGTCGCCCTTGGGGGTGGCTGTCCTGCTGTCCCTTCCTGGGTCGTCCGAGGTGGCGGTGTCCGAACGCTCCCGGGGGCTGCAGGAGGTGGTGGGGGGGCGTGGGGTCCCCCTGGGGCTGTTTGGGGGCTGCAGGGAACGGAGACCCCCGTGCTGGTGCCAGTCTGGGGGGGTACGGCACCCCCAGCTCAGCCACAGGATCCCCCTGTCCCCAGTGCACCCCCACTGCCACCCCCAGCCCCTCCNNGGTGTCCCCCCTGTCCCCGCTCACCCCCCGGCGCGCCCCTGCCAGCCCCCGCAGCAGCATCCGGCCGCAGCGCCCTGGCCCCGCCCCCTCCCCGAGTGACAGCTCTCTTAGCCAATGGCAGCCCGGTGCGCTCAGCAGGGCGGGAGCGGAGGGGAAGTGGGACCAATAAGCATCAAGGGGCGAGGCCAGAAAGCCGGAAGTGGCGGCGGAACGGGCACGTGAGGGGCGGCGAAGCCATGGCCCGGGGACCGGGACCGGCCCGGGGACAGAAACCGGCCCGGGGACCGCGACAAAAACTGGGATTGGGACGGAAACAGGGACAGAGACCGGGATCGGGACCGAAACAGGGCCGGGGAGCGGGACCGGGATCAGGAAAGGGACAGAAAGCGGGACCGGGACCAGGACAGGGACGGAAAGCGGGACCGGGACAGAAAGCGACACCGAGATCGGAACATGGACCGGCCGTGCCGCTGCGCAGCAGGTCAGTGCCCGCGGGATGCAGTCGGGATCGCTCCCGGTTTGGGGGCTGGACCCACGCGGGGTCCCGTTCTCGGCGTCTGCGTCCTGATCTCTACCGTGCCCGGGTCCCGATGTCTGCCCGTGCTGACCCTGATGGCTCCCCATGCCTCGGTCCCGGTGTCCAGCCGTTCCTGAGTCTGAGCTTCCCACCGTGCTCAAATCCCAGCATCCTTCCGTACAGGGATCCCGGTGTCCCGGTGCCTGGGTCCCGGTGTCCCAGCCTCCAGGTGCCGGTGCTTCCCTGGAGCCCTCTGACTGTGCTCATTTTCGCCAGGAAGGAGAAGAAGGACAACATGAAGCCCAAACACCCCGAGGAGCAGGAGATCCCGTTCCGCCTGCGGGAGCTCATGCGGAGCCGCGAGGCCCTGAAGCGCCCGGGCCCTGGCAAGGGGCAGGGGACAGGTGGGACACGCAGGTGGCCCGAGCAGGTGGCCCAGGAGCCTACAGCATGGCTGGATGCTGCCGTGGGACATCCTCCTCCCTCCGGTGATGTCCCACCGCGCTGTGCCGGCCCGAGGGGCTCCCGTGGTGTCACCGCTGCAGAAATGTCACCCGTCTCTCCTAGAGAAGAAGCAGCAGCAGAAGTGCAAGGGCCCCAGGGCCGCGGGGGACGTGCCCGTGCCCAGGTTCCGGAGGGGCAGGGGCGAGTCGGAGCGTTCCTACATCTGCCGCATGGAGCAGGAGGTGCAGCGCGTCCTCTTCCTGACAGAGAACCAGCTCCAGCGGGAGCCTGAGAAGGAGGCGACGGCTCCAGAGAAGTCCAAAAGGAAAAAAGAGTGAGAGCAAGGCCGTGTGAGCCAGATGGGGCCAGCCCATGCCTGTGGCATGTCCCCTTGCCCAGTTCTGCAGGGCAGGTCTGGGGGTGCAGCTGCGGGGCGGTGGGCACCCTTTCCATGGGGATGGATCTCTGGGAACAGAGCCACAAGCCTGCTTCATCCTCCTGGGGGAAAAGCTGTGGGGTTTGGGGGGCTCCCGTGGGGTGGGGACTCATTGCTTGCTCCCTGCCCACCCCTGAGCCATAATGTGGCTCTTCAGGTTTCAGAAAAGAAAGCTGGAAAAAGCTCGGAAGAAAAAGGAGGAGAAGAAGGAGGCCATGCTGGAGAAGAGCCTGTTGCAAGGTGAGGATGGAGTGGGGGGGCTGCAGTGACCCCAGCCCCGGGGGGCAGCACGTGGGGGGAGCTGGGCACCCCGAGGGTCTCCCACTGACCCTGTTCTCTTGCAGACACGGTGCCCTTTGGAGAGGTGGTGACACAGCCACCCACCATCACCTCACGGCCCAGGGGACAGGGTCCTGCCGAGCAGGTGAGCTCTGGGGACAGTGCCACCCACCCCTCGGTACCTGGGAGGGCAGCGGTGGCCTCAGTGAGCCGGTGCCAGCTCCTTGGAGCGCAGTCCCGTGTGTCATCCTTCACCGCTGAGCTGTGCCATCTCTGCCTGCAGGCTGGACGGAAGCAGCTCCTCCTGACGCCTCGCCTGGGCCAGAGCCAGGCGTCCCCCGTGTCCCCGGCGGTGTCGATGGCTCGCCGGCGCATCCTGGAGGAGGAGCGGGCGCGCGTCATCCGCGCCTACCGCGACATCCAGCGGCGCAAACAGCTGGAGCGGGAGCGCGCCCGGGCCGGCCCGGGCTGAGCCCCTGCGACTCCAGAGGGACATTGTCCTGATGCTCTGTGTCACTGCTGAGCCCCGGGACTTCCCACAGCTCCACGCTGCACGGCTCAGCACCGGCGTGGGTCCCTGTGGACTTGTTTGGAGTAAAAGGTGCTGGTGGAGCCGGGGGTGTGAGCGTGTCTGTGCTCCCCGTTCCTGAGGGGTCCTGAGGGACACTGCTGTGCTGGCAGATGGCAGTCCCAGGCATGTCACTGTTACCATGGGCTGGCCCTGCCAGGGCTCTAGTGGGGGCAGGAGTCTCGTTCCTCAGCTGTGAGGAGACCCCAGTGCCTGCCAGCTCAGCACCCACTGGGAGGAAAGTGAGGCGGTGCTGGGGACATGGAGTGTGCCACTTGCCTTTATTGTCACTATTGGTGACCCTGCTTGAGCCCCAGGGCTGCAGCCACACACAGCCCTGCCCTTGGCATCCCTGTCCGTGTCCCTGCCTGGCCCCGGTCACGGTGACCCCGGTGCCAGGTGTGCTGCCACGTCCCCGCCGCTGCGCCCGCGCCACCCCGGTGCCACCTGCCCTGCGACCACCCCCGGGCAGCCCCCGGCTCCGGGGAGGCTCCGGGGCTGCTCCCGGCGCGGCGCAGCCGTGTCTGCCTCACCTGGCCGGACAAAGGCTCCGCTGTTCCGCGGCCCCGCCGGCACAAAGCGTTCCCTGTTGGAGCGGGGCCGCCCCGCGCTGCGGCCGGCGCTGGCGGGGCCGGTGGGATCCCGCGCTTCCGGAGGGGCTGGGCACGGCCGCAGGGCCCCTCCGCTGTCCCTGCCACCCCTGAGCGCCTTGTTTGTCGGGTGGCTTTGCCGTCCCCAAGGTGTCACCGCTGTGTCCCCGGGAAGGTGGAGGTGCCTTTTGGGGGTGACGCGCTGTGCCATGCGGTGCCCGCGGGCGGTAGGAGGGAGGGTGTGCTGTGGTGACAGTGGCCCTGGTGACACCGAGTGCCTGGTGCTGCTGGGCAATGTCCCCGCTGCCGCTCGGCACCAGGTAAACACAGGTGACAGGTAAACACGGCTGACGCAGCACAGCCCGGGGGGCACGGCCACATCCCGCTGCCAACACCCGGCTCTCTCTCGCGGCCGTGTCCCCGGAGCCGGGAGCGTGGGTTTGTGCAAGCTAAAGGCACAGCCGGGACGTGGCGAGTGCCACCCTGGCGCTGCGTGTCCCTTGTGCGGACACCGTGCAGGGCACGCATGCCCACCCCAGCGCCGCCATCCCGGCTCCGGCTCAAGGAGACCCGGTCACCCGCTGCCCCCACCGAGCCGCTCCAGCCCTGAATAATTCATGGCACTGCTGGCCGCAGGCTTCCTGCCCGGAGGAGGAGGAATGGCTCTGGAGGGGAAGGCAATCCGAGCGGGAAAACCACCACGACCTTGGCACGTCCTCCGTGCCGTGCCACCTCCTGCCCGGCAGCCCATCTGCCCACGGGATCCCGGCCCAGCGGCCCCGGCTGGGGGATGGGGGTGCCGAGGAGCCTGCCCGGAGCCCCCCCGTGCTCCCTGTCCCTCCCCTGGATGGGGGCATGGGGCTGAGCCCGTGGGGTGGGGAACACCTGGGACCCCCATCACAGGCCACCTGTGACAGCATCATAGGAAAAACCACCTTTATTGGGGTGACCTGAAAAAAATGAAAAGGAAACTTGACAAAGCCGCAAGGAGGGCGAGGGGCCCAGCTCCCTCCCCACTCCGTGCAGGGGGAGCCCCGAGGGGGGGAAAGGCACCGAGAAGACGGCCAGAGCTGTGGGGGGCCGGTTCCCAGCCCCAGCAAGGCACTGATCCCCCTCCCCCAGCAACGGAGAAACAGAGGCACAGGAGGAGGCAGAGCTGGGGACAGCTTGGTGTCCCCTTGTGCCCTGCGGTGCGATGGGGCCAGCTCAGCTCGGGGTCCCCAGGGCTGGGGGGGTCAGTGCGGGGCCAGGGGCTCGGTGCTGGGGGTGCCCTGGGTGGGGTCCCACGGGCTCCCCAGCTCTGGAGGGTCCATGGCCTGGGGGAGGTGGGGGGTCTGTGCATCACGAGGGCAGTGAGGCGACAGACGGGGGCGTCCTCACGGGAGCCAGTCCTTGAGGCAGGGATGAGGGGCTCCGTGGCCGGGTGGGACGGGCAGGTGGGAGCGCTGGCTCTGGGACCGTGTGCAGGCGTCCCACGGGCAGGAAGCAGCTCTGGCTGCCAGCCAGGGTGGCATTCACACTCAGTCAGGGTGGGATGAGGCTCGGCGAGCCCTGGCAGTGGGACGGAGGGGCTGCAGCAGTGCCGGCGCTGCGGGAGCTGTGCCTCGGGGGCTTCACCACCGGTTCCTGCTGTACGGGGACTGCACCTGTGGGCACAGCGGGGTGGCACCGCGGTGGCACCAGCACCACGGACGTGTACCCTGACCCACCGGGGAGGGTCTGGGTGCCGGGCAGCGCCGTCACCATGGCAGGGCCGGACTTTGCCCCCGCTGCAGCCACCGTTCACCCACCTGGCAGCTCCGGGTGTCCCTCGGGATGCTGGAGTGCCGGGCCTGCGCCGCGAAGGCGTCCTCGGCTCGGAGCGTGGAGCTGGCGCTGCCGGGCATGGGGCTGGTGGAGGCACGGGGCAGGATCACGTCGTAGGGACCCTCGCTCTGAGGGACAGACAGGGGGTGGGAGGTCACAGCACCGGGAGCGCCCCAGCCCCACAGGGTCCTGGGGGTGGAAGGCTTGGAAGGTCCCCACCCCGTTAGAGGAGCCATTGGGACGCAGGGGTCACAGGAACACCCCACCCACACCCTGTCCCCCACACCCTGGTGTCACACTCACCATCCCCTTGTGCATCAGGGCCATCTCGGTGGGCTGGTAGACGCTGGTCAGCAGCTGCCCGTTGTAGCCACTGTATGGGGACACCGGCTTCTTGGCTGCTGAGACACGGGACAGTCACCATGGAGCCAGTGCCACCCCATTGGGGCTCCCTGTACCTCGTTAGCAGGTTTAACGAGCTGACCGAGCAGCTGCGTGCCATTCCCGCGGGACACTCCTGTCCCCAGGGATGGCATCGCTGCTGCCTAGCCGTGGCTTGTTATTGTAGGGTCTCTCGGGTGCAGGCGCTGCTCAGGGGGACCCTCCCTCCCCCATGGGGAGCAGACACCTGGTGTGTCCGCCCATGATCCCCACTGGGACTGTCACCACCCAGTGTTATTGCAGGGGCTCGTGGGCCTGGGGTGGAGGGGCAGGAGCCGCGGGCACCCCACGCTGGGGAGGGAGCTCCCTGGGGCTGCTGGGCTCAGCCCAAACTGGTACACCCAGCCCGGCCAGTTCTCAGAGCCACAACAGCAGCAGGCGCCAGTGCCGGGCAGGTCACTGCCAGACGTCTCGTCACCCACCCACCGCTGCCATCCCCGGTGGGGACATCCCCAGCGTCCCCAAGAGGATGGTGCCCGCACTGCTATGGGGTGAGGAGGTCCCTGGCGAGCCCTGGCACCTACCAAAGGATGGCTCATCCATGGAGAAGGCCTTGTTCTCCACGAACATGCTCTGCGATTTCTGCTCCTTGAGGATGGTCTCGTAGCCCACCCCCCGTGTGGGGTAGCCGTCGTCCTCAAAGGCCTGCTCGGGGCTGCGCCGTGTCACGTGTGTCACCTCGGGGATGACGTAGAGCAGCAGGAAGGCACTGGCGTTACAGACCAGCGCAATGGCCAGCGTGGGGTCATCCCAGCCGGGCTTGTGGCCGGCACGCTGGTTCCCATACAGGTACATGACGCTCCACGCCAGCCAGATGGCCACAGAGAGGCCGGTGGTGGCCAGGATGAAGGCGCCGTGCTTGCGCCAGCGGCCATAGCGGCCGCACAGGGTGGGCCAGGCCGCGCCGAAGGCGGCCGCCAGCAGGGCCATGACGTAGATGAGGGCCATGACGAAGTCAGCGTCCGCCAGCTGGCAGGGGTCCGCGGGGCCGCCCTCGCACCGCGCCACCGTGATGACGAGCCACTCGGTGTTGATGATGACCTCGACCGAGGCGAGGGACAGGGCCACCGCCAGCGTCACCCAGCCCCGCGGGGCCCGGTTGCGCCGTGCCAGGAAGTTGAGGGCCACGGCGTGGGCCAGCAGGCAGGAGAAGCAGATGGCAAAGAGGACGCCGAAGAGGAAGCGGCGGGAGGTGCAGGTGGAGAAATCCGGCCCCACGATGAAGTCAAAGGTCAGGCAGAAGAGCCCGAAGGTGCCCAGAAGGAAGAAGACCTGCGTGGCCACCAGGCTCTTCTTCTGGTGGTCCTGCACGAAGGGCAGGCTGGCCACCAGGACAATGGTGAGCACAAAGGTGGTCACCACGCCGAGGCTGGCCACTGCTTCCACCCCGATGCCCCAGCCCACCGAGAGGTCACAGAGGTTGTAGTAGAGGGAGGAAAGGTCATGGCCACAGCCCGGGGGCGGCGTGGGCTGTGCAGAGGCTGTGGGGAGCAGGGCCAGCAGCACGGCCGTGGTGCCCATCCTGCACCGTGGCATCCAGGGACCCTGCAGGACACAGCGGGGTCAGGACACAGTGGCTGGGGATGGGGATCAGCTCCCAGCTCAGAGCATCCCTGCCCATGGTCCCCACTGGGCATCACCCCATGGTGAGCAGTGGGGTCCTGGGGAGCTCTGCCCTGCTGGCACAGCTGAGCTCAGCCAACACGGCCACGGAGCGCCAGATGGGACCAGGCAGTCGCACTGGCTCCTTGGCTGGAGGCTGGTGGCAGCTGAGGAGGCACTCAGCCCCCCTGTGCCCCATATGATCCCTCCCAACATGGGAATTCTCTGGGAATTCTCCTGATCCCTTCCTCCAGTGTCAGGAGCAGCACTGTGCCTGATGCTTCCCAGGAACCCCAAATGCGGGCCCACACCAGATGGCAGAGGAGATACTGGGGGACAGCGCTGTCCCCTTGCCTTGTCCCTGCGTGCACCACGTTCCTCTTTCCACTTCTGTCCCACTTCCCTCTGGCTTTGGGCACCGGCCCAGTGCAGGTCGCATGTCCAGCCCGCTGGCACGTAGGCAGCCGCAGCCTGGCACGGCACGGCACAGCATGGCACGGCACGACACGGGGTCCCAATCCTTGTCCCCACCGTTGCCACCCCATTCCTGCCACCTCATGGTGGGCGCGGGGAAGAGGAGGCAGCGAGGAAGCCGCAGCTTCACTTCTGGGGGAGGAAACCGGGAGGAGATCCCAGCAAGGACATGCCGGGGCCGGGGCCCCCGGTCTCCCGAGGGGCACCCCGAACCGGGCACCCCCAGGCCCGGGACGGGGACAGGGACCCCCAGCACCACGCCGGGACGGAGTCCCTATGCCCGCGGGTTCCAGGAGCTCCGCCGCCTCCGGTTCCCACCGCGTCCCCCAGCTCGGTTTCCCCCACACCCCCAGCCCGGTACCCCCGCACCCTCCGCCCGGTTTCCCCCGCGCCCCCGGCGGCTGCACCCGCGTCCCCAGTTCTGCTCCTGCTGCAACCCCGCCTGGTCCCTCGCATCTCCCGTTGGCTTCCCCCGCTCCCTCGGCCCGGTGCCGCCGCACTCCCGTCCCGCTTCCCCTGCCCCTCCGCCGGTCCCCCCCGCCCGGTCCTCCCGCACCGTCCCGGTGCTTCCCGGTGCTCCCGCCAGGTCCTGGCCCCGAAACTCCGCCGGAGCCGCCCCCAAATCTCCGGCCGGAGGAGCTGCGGGGGCGGACGGCTCTCGGTCCCGGTCCCGGTCTCTTCCCGTCGGCGTTACCGGTGCCCCCCAGTCCCGCCGGGCTCGCCGCCCACCCCGCCCCGCTCACCGGCCGCAGCCCCCGGTGCCCGGCGCTCCGCTCCCCCCGTGCCGAGCCAGCCCCGGTGCCGCCGCACCGTGCGCCTGCCCGGCCCGGCCCGGCCCCTCCCCGAGGTGCGGCTCGGCCCCGGGAGCGCGATTGGGGCCGGCCGGGACCTGCCCCGCCGCACCGGGCGGGGACACCGCGGTCCCGCAGCGGGGCACGGAGGGGGCTGGCGGGGGGAAGAGCCCACACTGGGGGGACGGGACGGGGAGGAGCCCACCTGGTCATCGGTGTGATGAGTCTGGGGGGCTCAGCCATCGGTGCGATCAGCCTGGGGGGCTCAGCCTGGCTCTGCCGAGCGCTGCTCCTCGGGAACGACTCTCAGGGGACAAGGGACGGAGCGGGGGGGCTGCCCCGGGGCCCGGACGGGGCTGAGGGGGGCAGAGCCTGGGCTGGGGGTGAAGCAGGGCTGAGCCCACCCAGCCATGGGTGTGATGGGTCTGGGGGTCTCAGCCTGGCCCTGCTGAGCGCTGCACAACAGGAAGGACCCTCAGGGGACAAGGGACGGAGCAGCGGGGTCTGTGTCACCCAGCCGGGACCTCCCAGCTCCGGTGGGCTCGGGGATGGCAGCCGGGAGTGGCGCTCCACGGGCGGCCCCGCCCTGTAAGGATTCTCCGGCCTGGAGGGGCCTCCCGGAGGAATGTCAGCTGATGGATAAAGCCGGAGCCCTTGGCAGGGCAGCAGGACCCAGAAAACCCCAGAAACCCCTTTCAGCAGAGGGCCGGGGACCAGGGCAGCCCCAGCCCGGGGCACTGGCAGGATTTGGTGGTCCCTGTCCCGACAGGGGTGGCCGCTACCCTCGAGTTGGGATGGGCACCCCACAATCACCCCATTCATCCCTGGGGATGGGGAAAAGCCCCGGGAGATTTGGGGCACCCCGGGGCCCCGCCAGCCCTGGGAGAGGTTTCCAGGCAGGAGCTGCTATTTCGGGAGGGTGAAGCAAGAGGGTGAAGGATGCAGAGGAAAGTTCAGTGTGCCTCCGGCGGAGCCTGCCCTGATCCAGGCCGGGATGAAAACAATCCAGGGATAAAGGGCAGCAGAGCCTCCAGCGGCAGGACCGGCTCCCACCGGAACCGGCGGCACCCGTGGCACAAGGACCGGCGCCCGCCGGAGCCCCCGGGCACAGGACGGTGTGTCCGGGCTCAGAGCTGCGGCACCGCCACCTTCCCGCCCTCTTCCTAAGGATCCTTCGGCTCCGGAATGGTGTTTGGGATTGGATCATCCCTGCCCTCGCACAGGGCAGGGCAGGGCAGGCGAGGGGCTCTGCAGCAACCCTCGTGCCTCAGTTTCCCCGGGGATTTGGCCCCAGGATTGGTCAGCCCTCGCTCTCCGGGAAAGGCTCAGCTTTGGATAAGCGCTGCCGGGAGCGGAGGCCGCTTGTCCTGCCGCCCCCACACCGCAGCCCGGCCTCTCCACCGGCTGCTTCCTTCCGCCGGAGGCTTTCCCGGCTGCTGACTCAGCACGAGACCCCCGTGACCCCCCGTGGGGCCACCGGCAGCTCCCGTCCCGCCGGGGCTGCCCGCGGTCGCACAGCCTTTGCTTTCGTGTCCCGTCCTTGGCGGGTGATTTCCTCATCCCCTTCCCATGGGAACCTCCCCATCCCCCCACGGCGGGTGATTCCGGCCCCCTCCCCACGGAGACCCTCGTGTTCCACCCCTCGTGGGCGTTTTCCGCTCCCCCTTCCCATCGGGACCCTGTCCCCGTTTCCAGCCCCCATTGCCTGCTCCCGGAGCCTTTGTAGGTCCTACAGAAAGACCCCAACAGGCTGTGGGGTCACCGGGGGGTGATGCCACCCTCGGTTTCCTCTCGGGGTCCCTGACCCTGACCTCCCGGCACGGGCAGAGCCCGATCCCAGCCGCCGCTGCTCTGGGTGGGCTGGGAGCCGCGATGCCAGCGGTGGAACTGGGCAGAACTGCTCCTTCCAGCGCTGAGGCCACGCTGGGGGGCTGCGATGTCGCTCAGCACCGGCACCTGGACCCCGGCCAGGCTCTACCCGAAAACATCAGCACGCATTTTTTCCACGCTTACCTTTCCTCGGGAGCCGCAGGGACGGGCGGCTGGCACGGCGGGCACGGTGGCACGGCTGGCGGAGCCCCGTCTGCCGGCGGCTCCCCTCGGGAAGGCGAGAGCCGTGCCTGGAGCCGGGGGTCCCTGCTGCCCTCCCAGAGCCTCCCGCCGCTCCGGCCGGGGCTCGGAGCCGTTCCCAGCGGAGCCCCTCGCTCCGGCGGACGCCGTCAGCACATTTCCACCTCCTTTGCCAAGTAAACACGCACCGGCTGGCACAGGGGGGGCGGTGGCAATCGGGGGGGCCGGTGGCAATCCCGGAGCTCCCGCCGAGGGTTCCCGAGGCAGCCGAGCCCTCCGCCCCGCGGCCCCTCAGCCCCTGCCCGCGGTCGGGTTAATAACTAATCCCTTCCCTGTTCTGCTCTCCTCACGTGCCAGAATTAATGGAGCGAGAACCTCCCAGGTACCCCCCGCGCCACCGGGTCGGGCTTTAACCCTGTCCCCCGGTAGGGATCCGGCTTGGGATGAGGTGACATCCCCGGAGGAGTTTGTCCACGCCGGAGAATGCCCCGGGGCAGGGGTCCGTGGGGGGGCCAGCCCCACACCCTGGGGGCAAAGGCTGCGCCCCATCCCACCCCAGTGCGCGTACAGCAGGGCTCGGGGGTGGGCAGGGGGTCTGGTGGGGTTGGGGGTGTCTCTGTGCCCTGCCAGGAGCCAGCTGAGGTCCTGATCCCCCCCGGGCACCCCCTGGGTCTGTCCTGCCCCTCTCGGGAATCCGAGAGGAAAGGCTGGACGGTTTTGGGGGATTACGTTAAGGACCTTAAGGGGAATTAGGGTGGCGGCGGGGCTGGTTTGGGGAGCTGGGGGTGCCAGCTCCCTGCCCCGTCAGTGCCAGCTCCGCAGTGTCCCATCCCTGCCCTCTGCCGGCAGCTGGGGACAGGCTGGCACGGCACGGCCGCTCCTCCAGTGTCACACCAGTTTGGCACTGGTGTAACTGGGAGGGCAGCACTGGGTGCACCCCATGCAGGGGGGCATTGCCCGGGGGTTGCAGCCTGGCTGCTGCCAGGGGAATTAATGGGTGGGGGTCGGGATCTGTGATCTTACCATGTGTCCAGACCCACCAGAGGGGACAGCAGACCCTGTGGGTGCTCCCCCCAGCTGCCCCGGGCAGTGGGGCAGGGGCACGGGAGTGGGCAGGGCAGAGGGACCCTGTGCCAGAGAGGCTGGAGCAGGGGGTCTCCGTTCCAGCTGCCCGCAGGGAGCCGGACCCAGGCAGAGTTTGGTCTCAGGACAGCAGTTTATGGAGTAGCACCCAGCGGGCACCACGTCCTTGTCAGGGCTCGCAGGAGCTCACTCGTGCTCTCCACCCCTCACCACAGGCAGTGGGCTCCCCAGGACCCTCCGTGCCACTGGGCTGGGGTATGTCCTGGATGAGTTCCCTGGGTGAGTTCCCTGGGTGAGTTCTAGTGTTGCGCCAGGGGCTGAGCATGGACAGGGCTGAGCTGCCCACCCTGGGGTGCTGCTGCCAGGCAGGCACCACGATATCCCCAAATGAGTGTCTGGACACAACCACCTCCTCCTGCCTTCCCCACCAGCAGTGACCCCGGCTCTGTGGAGGGTGGGGGTCTTCCTGGTCCCGGTGCAATGCATGGGGCTGTGTGAGCACCAGCGCTGCCAGCCGGGCACTGCCCCAGCTCAGAGCGCGGTGTTGCCCAGCAGCTTCAGCGGTTTCAGGGCTGGGGGTGGGAAGTGCCCGCTGCCACCGCGGGGGGCTGCCCGGGGGTGACCCCGCAGCACCTCGCCCACCGTGCGGCGGAAGGTCTGGCTGACGAAGCAGTAGAGGAAGAAGTTGAGGGAGGTGTTGAGCATGGCCACCATGTTGGCGATGTCCAGGGCCAGGTGCACGCGCCAGTCCCTCCTGACCGAGGCCACGTAGAGGTGGCACATGGTGACGATGGTCCGGGGAGCCCAGAGCACCACGAAGACGGTGGTGACGGCCAGCAGCAGGGCCGTGGTCTTGCCGCCCCCCGCGCGTCTGCGCCGCTTTAGCTTGCGGATGATGACGGAGTTGGTGGCCAGGAAGACGCTACAGGGCAGGAAGTAGATGGTGACGCAGTGCAGCCACTTGAGCGCCGTGTCCAGCGCCGTGGGGGGGTCGGCGTCACGCCACATGTCCAGCCACCAGTAGAAGGGGATGCCGGTGGCCAGCGCCGCGGCGAAGACGGCCGCGATGATCTTGCGGGTGCGCCGTGGGTAGGACACGGTGCGGTAGCGCAGCGGGTGGCACAGAGCCACGTAGCGGTCCACGGTCAGCAGCACGGTGACCCAGGTGGACGCATGGTTGGCCGTGAACTCCAGCACGTTGACGGTGTGGATGAAGGCGCTGGGCACTGCCCGTGCCAGGATGGCCGTCTGCAGGATGAAGCCCACAAAGATGATGAAGATCTGGGTGAGGATGTCGGAGGTGGTCAGGGCCAGCAGGTACCAGTATGACGACTTCTTGGTCCTGGTGGCCAGGCGGGACAGGGCCACGGCAGTCAGGATGTTCACTGCAGGGAGGGGAGCCATGGGTGGAGGTGAGAGGTGGGGGCTCACAGCCCTCCCCCAGCACCCAGACCCCGGAGCTGCCCAGGCTGCAGCCGAGGGGAGCTATAAATATCCCGGTGCCCTGGGGATTTGCTGGGCTGATTAATCTCTTCTGTGTGCCAGCCCAAGCAATGCAAATACCATCTGTCCCCGTGGTGGTGGCACCTGCCCTGGGCCGGGCAGCCAGGCACTGGGGCCAGCTCTGAGGTTGGGGGAGATCAGGTAAAATCCCTCCATCCTGAGGGGTTTTCTTTCCAGCCCCCCAGCCCCCTCACCTGGCAGCCCCAGCCCCAGCAGGACGCTGTAGTACACAATGGGCACGATGCCGACAAGACAGGGTGACCGCTCCAGCTCTGCCCATGACACCACGGTGCTGTTGGGCACTGGCAGCGACATCTTCCACCACGGAGCGGCTGTGAGGAGACACAGGAGCACCGGGGGCATCAGAGTCCTGATGGCACCTGGTGGGGAGGTCAGCCGTGACATGGCACAGGGGTCTGGGGACAGGGGCCATCGCCTGGGGGTCCCCGCTGTGGCTGGATCGCAGCTCCCTTTTCCTGTAGCATCCATGGATAGAGGGCAGCTCCCAAACGTGCCACTGCGGACACACCTGGATCTGCTGCACCCATGGGAGACGATGCACCTCAAGCCCCCTGTGCCAGCAGAGCCCCCGCTGCTAGAGCCGCTCCTTCTTTATCCATCAGCCCCGTTTTTGTAGAAAACCGGATTAAAACATCATGTTCTTGGGCAGCTGCCAGCAGAGGGAGTCTCTGGCCCTCAGCCCGGGCTGGGTGCCACCAGGCGGCTCCCAATGGTGGCAGAGGACCCAGAGGTGCCGATGGGGGGTGGTCCTAGTGGTGCCAAATGTGGGGTGGCCATCTCCAGGCTGCCAGCTGGGTCCTTTTCTAGCTCCTCAGGCTGAGGCAGCGGCCCTGCCCGCGGCCCTGCCCGCATCCGGATCCTGATCCGTATCCGCATCCTTATCTGTGCCCCATCCCTGCCCTATCTGTGCCCTATCCCTGCCCCGTCCCTCTGCCCACTCCCCACGCCCGGATCGTGCCCGCGCTGCCCTCGCCCATTCATAAACCAGGGCAGCTCCACCCCCTCCCGAGCTCTGCGCTCCTATTGGCTCAGGGGAGACAGGCCCCAGCCAATCGGAGAGGGGCTCCCCGGGAGTGGTGAGGCCAGAGTTGAGCGCTGCGTTCTGATTGGTCAGAATCCCCCCCAAATTTGCATCCCATGGGGACCGCCACCCCTGGTCCCAGCGCGGGGATGGTGGGGGGTGATGGGAGATCCTGGGATCGGGGGTGCAGGGGGTCCTGGGATCGGGGGTTCTGGGGTGCGGGAGGCCCGGGGGTTGTGGAGTGCTCTTTGGGAGGGGGGTGTCTTGGCTGTGGGGTGCAAAGAGGAGTCCTGAGCTCAGGGAGGGGGTACGGGGCACCACGCTCCTCCCAGTCTGACCCTGGCCCTAGGGACACCCCAAATTCCCCTTGTCGCAGACACTCGATAGCTTCGGGGCCGGGGCTGGAGGGGGGGCCAGGTCTCTCGTCCCTTTGGGGACCCCCAGTGATGGATCTGCTCCCCCAGAAGTGCCCGAGGTGTGTGTGGGATCCCGGGGGTGCCACCTGCCCGACCCTGGGACCCAAGCAATATCCTGAGCGCAGCCCGAGGGAGAAGAAGGGGGGGATGGGGGAGCAGAGGGGTGCCAATTAACTGCAAATTAGCTCCGGTTCATCAGCAGGAGGTCCCGTCCATCCACGTCCCCCGCGGAGCTGAGGCATCGATCGGCTGCAGCTGCGCCGCGAGCGCCTTAACCCTTTCCCAGCCCGATCCCCTTTGTGCTGCTGGGGGCGGGTTCGCTCTGGGCCCCCCTTTGCTCCCCCTGCCCTTGCTCCCGCTCCCCAAATCCTGCGGGACAGGGACCCTCACCTGGGTGGCCCCAGTGCCACCCGCCGGGCGTGCAGTGCCACCTTCCCTGGGCTCGGTGTTTCCCACGGACATACCGCTGTCCCTGTCCTCTTCAGCGTCCGTGTGCCGCTGGTGTCCGTGTCCCTGGCAGTGTCCCTGTCCCCGCGGGCACCGGCAGCATGGCACAGCCTCCCGGGGCGCGGGGCACGGGGCGGAGGGAGAGCGCCGTGGGCAGAACCACGGGCAGAGCCGCGGGCTGGGCTGGCTGGGCACGGGGGCGTCACCGGCCCTTGGCTCCGCGGAGGTGACTTCCCTCCGGGGAAGGGATCACCTGGGCAGCTCCGGGTGACCGGGACACAGCTCGTCCCCGCCCCAGAGCGGTAGGGATGGTGGTCCGGGGGCAAGTGGGCAGCTGGCTTGGCGGCCACCTCTGGGGACTCAGAGGAGCGGGTGTGCGCAGGGTGTGACGTGTGGCTGTGCACAAGAGCGTGAATCCGTGTGCGCTGCCTGCGTGTCCCTGCTGGGCTCTGCCCTGGCTGCTCCACTGCCAGGACACCGTGCCCGCGCCTCATTTCCCCCAGCAGCACAGGGAGGGACCTGCTGTCCCCTGCCGGTCCCTGGGTCCAGCTCCGTCTCTCCAGTGTCCCCCAGCCCGCGGGGCGATGCCGTGGCACTGCTGCCTGGCACAAGTCGCTATGGTGAGCCAGCCCTCAGCCGCAATCTCCGGGCCAGCGCAGCTGCTCCTCACCTCACCGCAGACGGGGAGGTGTCACCCTGTCCCCTGGCGGCTTCCAGAACCAGCCCCACGGTCCCCCGTGTCCCCCAGTGGTCACCTCACCCCCGTGAGCAGCACGGGGGTCCCGGGGCTGTGGCTGCCGCCTGGGCTGGCGCGGTGCCGGCGGCACGCCGGGCACACGCTCGCACAGGCTGTTGTTTATCAGGCGGTGGTGAAATGAGGCGTCGGAGAACGCGCTGTGCCGTGAACCGGCTGTGCCGTGGCGGGGGCCCTGTCCCCCGCGCCCCCACGGTGCAAGGACAGCGGCCCGGCCCGGGCGCTCTGCTGGCACCGCGGTTTTGGGGGTCCCCTGCCCAGCAGGGACACAGGGCTCCAGCATCGCCCACCTGCCCGTCCCTGCAAGGGGCCAGGGAGCCCCAGCAGCGTGACGTGGGGTGATCGGTGTCTTGTCCTGAGTCTCCACGCCCAAGGGTTAGGGACAGATGGTGATCCCACCCCCTCGGCAGCTGCAGCAACATCTGCCCACACTCAACATCTGGGAACTGTGTCTAAGCCCGTGTACAAACTGCTGTGCAGGGGACGGGGCTCCTCGGCAGTGGGTAAGAGGCTGCTGTGCCCTTGCGGGCTGTGCTCCTCCTCTGTGGGATGTGTCCCCCCCCGGGGTCCTGCTCCTGGGTCCCCACCCCAGGATGCCACCGGGGCCACAGCCCAAGCGGCGTCGGCACGGCTTGGCTGACACCCGCTGCCCCTACCCTGCTCACCCAGCGCCGCCCCAGCCTGCGCCTGTGGCGCTGGGGCTTTGGGGGGCCCCAGCCCCGTGGTGAAGCCCCCCAAGAGGTGTCGGGGCGGGCGGGGGGCCAGGGAGGCCGCACAGGGCGTACGGGCGGCCTCTTGGCTGCAAAGGCTGGGAAAAGGGCAGGCAGTTCCTGCCGGCAGCGCGGATGCCATGGTGATGGGCTGCTGCCGGCATGAATACCCATGAGCCGGGGGGAGCGGGAGGCCACCGAGCTGTGCCCTGAATGTAAAGACCCCGGCACAAAGGGCCGCGGCCACGCGGGGGCTCCGGCGCGGCGGTGCCAGCAGCAGGTGCCACACGGCGAAGTCCCCGCGCCGCAGCACCCCGGGGTGCGGGGCTGGGGCTGGGGGTCACGGTGGGATGCGGGGAGGCTGGAAGCCGTTCCCGTGGCAACCACGGGTCCCAGTTTCCACCAATCGATGCGGCGGCGCGGGCGCTCGGGCCGGGAGGGCGCGTGGCCTACATAAGCCGCGGGCGCGCAGCGTGCGCCGCACCCGGCAGATGCGCCTGCGACGCCATGGCCAGGCTGACGGGCACCCGGCCCGTGGCCACCCGCCGCTGGGGCTGTGCCGCCGCCTTCCTCCTCCTCCTCTTCACCGTGCAAGCCGGTAAGGGTGGCCGTGGCGGGGGGAAGCACGAAGGGTCCCCCCGAGCCCTGGGTAGCGCTGCCCTCGCCGGGTGCCGGGGTGCGGCTCGGCGGCTGATGGAGAGCTGAGCGCGGCTCTCCGGCCGCCGTCGGGGTGCCCGGAGGGGATGGAAGCGGCTGCGGGGTGTGCTGCGCTCTCGGAGCCGGGTTGTGTTGGCTGGTGGGTGCCCGGGGAAGGGCTCGGTGCCGGGCAGACAAGTCCAGCACCACGGGGTGCAGGGCGCCTGCTCCCTTTCCTCATCCCCGTTCCCCTTCCTCACCCCCCGGCCTTAAGCCGGCCTGGGAAGGGTAATCCGTCCGCAAGACGGGATTTGAGAAGGAAGATGGATTTGAGACAGACAGGGCCAAATTCCTCCTGGGGGAAGGATGCTCCGAGGAGCGGGTGGGAGTGGTGTCAGGAGGGAGAAGAGGAGTGGAAGGAAGGATCCCAGTGCCCACAGGAGCATGGAGCCCCCTGTTCCACATTCCCAGATCCCTCTCCAGTCCCTGTTGGGATCCCAGCACGGACCTGAAGTGACACCAGGGCAGCTGGAGTCCCCAGGCTGCTCGGGACCCCATTCCTGGCTGTGGGGCAGAGCGTGCCTGGCTCCCCACACCCAGGGGCTCTCTGTCCCCCCACGTATCCATCTGGCATGTGAGGGATCAGGGCAATGCCCGGGGCTCCCTCTGCCCACAGCGAGGACGGGATCAGGACAGGCAGGCCGGGCTGAGAGCCAGTGCTGCCGGCACCCGGCCATTTCCCAGCACACCCCAGCCTGGGACATGGTGGTCTCAGCCCTTCTGCTGCAGAAAGGCACTTTTTTGGCTCTCAGGGACATAAATGTCCCCATGTCCTTTGTTCCCCCATGCTCCCTTGGCGCCAGCAGCCCTTTGGCACTGGGGGAGTAGAGGCAGGAGGTGCACAGCCCCCCGGTAACCCCACCCCACCTCAGTGCCTGGCACTGGGGTGCAGCTCTGGGATGGTCTCATCTCCCTGCAGCCCAAAAAGCCGACTTTAGCGGGGACTCCACGGCGGCCACCATCAACCACTCGCTGACGCTGCTGCAGCGGCTGCAGGAGCTGCTGCAGAACGGCAACGGCAGCGACTCGGTGCTGCGGGTCCGCTCGGCCGCCTCCGACGAGCCCAAGGTGTTCCACACGCACCAGCTGCTGCTGAGCCTGCAGAGCGAGGTCTTCGAGAGCCTCCTGCACAACCAGAGCGTCGTGACCCTGTACGAGCCACCCGAGACCGCCGCGCTCTTCGAGAAGTTCATCAGGTGCGTGGGGACCCCGTGGGGTGGGGAGGACAGGAGGGTGCAGCTCTCCTGGGAACTCCACGGGGAGCTCCACGGGATGGGGATGCCCAGAGGGATGCAAGGAAGGAAGGAGGATACTCCCTTGGGAGCCACAGGGACCTCGTGGGATGTGCATTTTGGAAGGGATGTAGCCCAAGAAGGATTCTCCCCTGGTGACCATGGAGATCCTGTGGGATGGGTGTACCTGGAGGGATGCAGCCAAAGAAGGTGGATGCTGTACTTCATGGGATGCAGCCAGGGCTGGAGGGGACTGTGGAGATCATGTGGAATGGGAGGAAAGTATCCAAGGAGAGGAGGTGCTTCCCTGGGAACCCTGGGGACCCTGTGGGGTGGGAATACTCAGAGGAAAGCAGCCCAGGGCAGAGGCTGTTCCCCTGGGCCGGGTTCCAATGTTCTCCCTTGGTCCCCAATGTCACCACCCCCTACTCTGCCCCAGGTACCTGTACTGTGGGGGGGTCTCCATCCTGCTGCACCAGGCCATCCCCATGCACCAGCTGGCCAGCAAATACCGGGTCTGGGGGCTGCAGCGCGGAGTGGCTGAATACATGAGGACCCACCTGGCCAGCGAGTCGAGCCAGGGCCACGTTGTGGGCTGGTACCACTACGCCGTGCGCGTCGGGGACGCGGCGCTGCAGGAGAGCTGCCTCCAGTTCCTGGCCTGGAACCTGTCCGCGGTGCTGGGCAGTGCCGAGTGGGGCTCGGTGAGCGTGGAGCTGCTGCTGCTGCTGCTGGAGCGTTCCGACCTGGTGCTGCACAGCGAGCTGGAGCTCTACACCGCCGTGGAGGGCTGGCTGAGCCGCCGGCAGCCCGAGGCGCCCGTGGCCGAGCGGGTGCTGCGCGCCATCCGCTACCCCATGATCGCGCCCAGCCAGCTGTTCCGGCTGCAGGCGCAGTCAGCGGTGCTGGCGCGGCACCGTGCCGCTGTGCAGGACCTGCTCTTCCAGGCTTTCCAGTTCCACGCTGCCTCCCCGCTCCACTTCGCCAAGTACTTTGACGTCAACTGCAGCATGTTCCTGCCCCGCAACTACCTCGCGCCCAGCTGGGGCTCCCAGTGGGTCATCACCAACCCGGCGCGGGACGACCGCAGCACCAGCTTCCAGACCCAGCTGGGGCCCAGCAGCCACGACGCCGGCAAGAAGGTGACCTGGAACGTGCTGTTCTCGCCGCGCTGGCTGCCCGTCAGCCTGCGCCCCGTGTACTCGGACGCGGTGGCGGGCGCCATCCAGCCCGTGCGCATCGAGGACGGGCGCCCGCGCCTCGTCATCACCCCGGCCATGAGCAGCCCCGACTTTGCTGGCGTCAGCTTCCAGAAGACCGTGCTGGTGGGCGTGCGGCAGCAGGGCCGCGTGCTGGTCAAACACGCCTACAGCTTCCACCAGAGCTCGGATGAGGCAGCCGACTTTCTAGTGCACGCCGACCTGCAGAAACGCACCTCCGAGTACCTCATCGACAACTCTCTGCACCTGCACATCATCATCAAGCCTGTCTACCACTCCCTCATCAAGGTGAAGAAGTAACGAGGTGCAGTTGGGTCCTGCCATGCTGGTGCCAGCACCATGGGGGGAACGCTTGGTCCCGTAGGTAGATGGGGGTCCCCTCGCTGGGGGACAACAGGACTGAGCTCTGCACTGCCCACCCCTCCCTGAGCGATCCCCTACCACGTCCCGTCCCCATCGCTGTCCCTGGGGATGGAGGATGCTGGGAGTGCCCCAGACCCATGTAGGAGGTGCAGGAGGTGAAATGTGCAGCCCACGGGCACATCACAGACCCCAGCGGGTGTGGGGATGGGGACAGGGACAGCCCATCCTTCCTGTGGGGCAGGCCCGGGGTCCCTCTGTGTGGGCAGCTGGGTCCAGCTCAGGAGCAGAGCTGCCCAGTCTGGGGGTGAGGGGCCCATCAGCCTCCCCCAGTGGAGGAGGGGTGGGGGGCACCGTCCCCACTGGCAGTGGCAGCTGCCCCATTCCTGTCCAGGTACCCCCACCCCTTTCCTAATAAAGCAGAAAATGAGTGTGGGACGTGTGTGGCATCTTTGGGGTGATGCTGCTCCCCAGCCCAGCTCCTTCTAATGGAACTCCTGGGAAGGAGAGAACCCATGCAGGCATGGATACATTTCCCTGTGGGATTTGGGTCCCTGCTTAGCATGGGTTTGGGGGGGTGATGGCCCCTGAACCCTGTCCTGGCATTGCTCACCCACAGGTGGCTTTAGCCCCTGGACAGAGCCTGGGGAAGGGTCCTGCCAGGGGCTCGCCCTCAGCCCACATAGAGCAACCTGTGTGATGTCCCCATCGCTGTGACAGTGCTGCTGGCAGCTCGTTAATGATTAATTAAGTGGGGTGAGGAGTTGGGGTGGCTGCCGGTTCTACCAGCAGGGCTGTGTTTACCCAGCACTGATAACCCAGCCCGGGGCTGCTCCTGTGGGGACACAGGGCTCTCCTGTGCAAATGGCCCAGAGGCGACTGGGGCCCCCTGCTGCCACCAGCCACCTTGCTGTGCCCTGCTCCATGGCCTGGACACTCTGTGCTGCCCTGGGTGCTTGGCTGTGCTCAGGCACTGGCTTTGAGTGTCCTGGGTCAAGGAAAGGACAGAAGGAGCAGGAGGACGTGACTTTCCCACCCTCTGCTCGACCCTGCTGTGACAAGAGAGGAAACGTGACATGGAAAGCACCAGTTTATTCACACCAAAGAAAATAATGATGCAAAGGCCAGGGAGCAGCTGTGGGGTCAGGGGGCTGTGCAGGGTCCCCCACTTGCCACCCCAGGAGGGCAGAGAGCCCAGGAGAGCTGCCTGGCCTGGGGACAGTGGCCTCGTCCCTGCAGCAGCTCTGGCATGGAGGGGAAAGGAAGGTGCAGCTGGAGCACACTGACCTTGGCATCCTTCTACTCCTCCTGGCTTCCCTCCTGTGCAGCTGCCTCCCCCTCTTCACCCTGAAAGACAGAGGTTCACCCTGTCCCCTGCCCTTGCTGGGGTCCCTGCCATGGTGGCCAGGCTGTCCCATCCCCGTTACCTCTCCGGGCACTTCCAGGCCCCTTCTCCGCCGCTCTGCCTTGATGCTGGAGAGGAAATCTGCTTGGGCCTGCTTGAACACCTCCTGGGGATCCTCCTGCTCCTCTGGCTGGGCCCGCAGGCGCTCCTGCTCCCGCAGCAGCCGCTCCCGATACTTGTCCTGCAGGACTTTCTCCCGCCTCGCCTCCCGCTCGAACATCTGGGGGCAGATGTGGGGCACAGGTGACCCTGTGACGTGTCTTGGGACAGCAGGGCTGCAGGCAGAATGTGGGGCTCAGGTGGAACATACTGCAGAGGTCAGGGTCTTCTCGTTCTTCCGGAGGGTGCAGAGCCCTGGGGAGATCTCCAGGAGGGACACAGTGCCCTGCCTGGTGCCAAAGGCGATGATGCGCCCGTTGTCCTGCGAGCACAGGCTGAGCAGGGGATCATTGGACACCTGGGGACAGGGCACAGGTGGGTGGTGACACTCGGCCCTGGGGTGATGTGAGGGTCGCAGAGGTGCTGGGGACCCACCCTGAGGCTGAGGGAAGGTTCCTTCTGGTGGAAGAGGAAGTCCCAGATGTCCAGGGTCCCGTCCGACCTGGCGGTGAAGAACACGGCCGGCTTCACAGGGCTCCAGCACACGTCCAGCAGGTAGCAGGTGTGGTACCTTCCAGCAGAGCCAGTCCTCAGCCACACTGGCACTGCCCTGCCTCAGTCACCAGCCCAGAGCTGACCAGACCCCACTGCCACCTGCCCTGGGGATGATTTCTGGCCGACTAAAGGTCCTCTACTACCTCTAAAGGAGACCTACTTGGTCTCCATAATTGATGATGAATCCATCAGCTCCTCTGTCCAGATCCGAGCAGTCCAGTCACCAACTGACAGGAAGACTTTGGGGAAGAAGGGGTTCCTGGTCACCCTGTAGACAGCCCCGATGTGGCTCCTGAAGATGTTGGCAATTTTCTCGGGCGGTGTCTTGGCATCGCGGTTGCAGGAGATGATGATGCCCTGCTCTGTGCCCACCAGGAACTTGGTGGGCTGGGGGTGGGAGCAGGAGAGTGCAGCTGTCAGCAGGATGGAGACCCCATGGTGTGGGGGGCAGCGGGGGATCCTGCTGCAGCCAGAACCCTGTGACCCACCACCACGGGGGGGTTTAGGGACTGGAACCCCTGGGCTGGGCTCCCCCTCCTGCCTAGGCCAGGGTGTGGGTGGTGGGCACAGGGACACTCACCAGGATGGGTGCAAAGTCCAGGGAGATGGCACCAAGAGCCTGATTCAGCTGATCTTGCCGGGTGATGTCCAAGACCAGCCTCTCGCTGGGCTGTGACATCTTGCGGATGTCCCACCACAGGACCTGTGGGGACAAGGCATGGCAGGGGCTGTGGGGGCTGCTCCCAGCACAGGCAGAGGTGCTGACAGTCCTGCAGCTGCCCCGTGCCAGCCTGGGAGACTGAGATCTTGTGCTGCTGAGGGGCAGGGCTGGCACAGGAAGCTCTTCAGGAGCCCCTGGCCCCCTCTCCTGTTGCAGCCCCTCACCTGCCCGTCGGTGGAGCCTGAGAAGCACTCGGTGCCCGTTCGGGAGGGCAGCCAGCACGCTCCGTACACGGGGTCCCTGTGGCTGAACTCCACAGGGGTCATCTCCATGGGCAGCCCCCCTTTCCTGGTGTCCCAATACACTGGGAAGGAAAAGATAAGCCCCGGCCCAGCTCCTTTCTTTGTCACGTTTCCCCCACTGTCCAAGCTGCAACAGGGAGCAAACCTCACCCAGTGCTTCCCAGAGATCATCCAGGGTGGTGGGAGAGGTAGGAGCACAGCACCCGTCCTGCTCATCCCCTGGATCCATCCATCATCCATCCATCCATCCATCCATCCATCCATCCATCCATCATCCATCCATCCATCCATCATCCATCCATCCGCTGTGAAGGGCTCCCTGGCACAGTGTCCTCCCCTCCCTGGGTGCCTGCTCAGGCGAGCACACACCTGGCCACAGGTAAATCCCAGGGCTTCTCCTGTGCTCCCAGGAGCAGCACAGATTCTGGCACTGCAACAGGGCTGGAGCCAGGCTGGAGCAGAATTAACCCCCTCACCTATCTGCCCGTTGTAGCAGCCTCCCAGCACATGATGCCAGTCCTTGGAATTGTACTCCAGGGTCACCACAGGGGATGAGGGCTTGAGGGTGAGCTCTGGGGTGTAGGGTTTTTCTGCCAAGGAGGGATGAGTGAAGAGTAAAGGGTGAAGCCCCCAAAAGCAGCCCCCAGCCCACCCTGCTGTCCCCACCCGTTCCCTGACACAGCTGTGCAGGATGATGTGCCTATGTCACTGGGAGCTGGCCTAGGGACAGACCCTCAGTACACAAATCTGCATTCCCACCCTTCTCTTTGTCCTTTTCACTCCAAAACACATCAGGTGTGAGACAGGCTTGGACAAGTCTCACCCCGGGCTCCTGCTGCCTCTTCCTTCCTTCATTACCAGCTGAACCACATCAACACAAGACCCTCATGTGAGGCTCTGCTGCCTGGCATGGCTGGGGAGCCATAGAGTGGGATTTCAGTGGTGATTTCCCACCTCCCAGCTCCCATTTCTCCTGTTTCTGCACTGAGGCTCCCCCAGCAACCCTCCCCGGGGTGCTGCAAGCCTCCACCTGCTCTCTGAGACACAAAGTGCTTCCCCTATCGCCTGCTGGGTTTGGCCTTGCCCTTACCCAGATCCCAGATGTAGGAATCAAAGCTCAAGTCCTTCCTGCTGTCCTGGAAGTCCAGGCTGCAATAAGCCACGGCCATGGCCCGGTTGCCGTCGGGGTGCCAGGAGACGTGCGTGGCCATCCTCCTGGGCCTGTTGGGGTCCCTTTGGGGCGACACATCAGCCAAGATGGGTCAGTTTGCAAATCCCTGGGATGAACATCTCCCACAGGGAATTGTGGGAACCACAAGGAAACCAATCTGCAGCCCTCGAGCCTTGAGTGCAGGAAATGATTCTCCTGAGGGGTCGGGAGGGGGGAGAAGAGTTGATGATTTCATCCTCTTTCCAGTCATACCTTTCTAAAAATCCAATTATCTTACTGGATCTGGCTCCTAAACACCCCTGATGTGGAAATTAACCTTAGAGGCACCAAGAACAAGGAGGAAAATCCAAAGCACCATCAGGAGATGCTCAGAGCTGAGTCTGACCCTGGTTCCCATCCCCAAATTGCCTGGGCAGGGCGAGGGGCAGGGATGGAGTGGTGGGGCAGGGAGGGTTCAGGTTTGTGGATCTCTGCACCCACAAACTGCACCAGGACCACCCCAAACCCACTGGAATTTAACTCCTAAGGTTCCCCCATTTTCTGTGAAGGTGGTTTGACCCTGCTGAGGCTCTGGAGAGCCCTCCCAGCTGCGTGCTACCTGACGACATTGATGGTTTTGGCTGAGGGATGCTCCTCCTCCTCCTCCTCTTCCTCCTCTTCCTCCTCAAAATATTCCTCGTAGATGTCGATGGTGTTGTTCTGCCTGATGTAGTGCTCCATCACCTGCAGGGACAGCACGGCCGTGGC